CGGGCCGAGCCTGTTTGAGTTTATATAAATACATGACTAGAGTTTGAGATTCATATTGTTTTCATTATTCTTGCTTACACAAGAAAAAAATCCTAGCAGTTGCAGTTTATTCTCTGTGTGGATTTCATTGGAGGTTGGACAATTGGACAGTTGTGGGAGGCAGATTCAAGTTGCTGGAAAAGAATAACGCAAAGAAGTTTGCAAAATCAAGAAAAATGTATATTCTCATCACAGTTCTTATCTAAATACAAAGCTGAATCTTGGTGGGAATTGAAACTGTTTATTTTCGCTATGCATGTTTAAGTAAATTCCCAACAGTAAAAGCCTCGGATCCTATCACTTCGGGATATCAACACCTCTATCAATGTCGTACGAAGGTGCTTACGTCGCAGCTGAAGTGGTTCCGAAGTGGCAGATGCACTGAGGTGCTCTGCAAGGAGGCGTAACACTATTAATACTGATGACCTCAATAAAATTGGTTGTTTGAGCATTAATGATAGCTTCTTCAAATTCATTAGTATCATTTGTAGGGGATGTAGTGAACTTAGCAAATTTGGGACAGTATCAATGCAAATTAACCGTTGTTCGAAAAGTTGACTGATGTCCATTATCGAATTTCGGCTGATCTTATTTGGATGAACACATAATCTTGCATTGATTGTAGCTTAATTTGTTTTGCTAAAAGAAACATAATCTTGAATGAATAATATTGTTGAAGCTGGAATCAGCCACGTCTAACATAATTTTCAGCAGGGACTGTGAGTGTCTTCATCGCCATTAGGGATTGCGTATCCGTCAAAAAAAAATAATGAAACGCAAAATTTCAGTATGGATTTCTATTTCTTGTCATGATTTATGAAATAAAAATAGGATTTGGGGATGAAGAAAGCTATGAATTTTATGGAATGGGAGAAAACGATTCAAGGGGACAAGCGATTTTGGGCATTTTCTTCAAAGAGTAATGCTGTGATTTCGGGATTTTGGCAATAAAATTGGAGTGATGTGTCGTATTTGGAGGAGAGATTATAGCCCTTGAATAGATTAATGATGATAGGTGTAATCTTTTAGTTACCATTTTTTACAACATAAAATGATGTGGAAGAAAAAAATTGGTTGAAAAAGTTGATTATGTTTTAAAGTGAGAAATGATAGAATGACGTGGCATTATGTAACTCATTATGTAAAGTTTAATGTACATATAGCAAAGTTCTTAATTGAATATGCTGAATGTACGGAAATCCAAATTCAAATCAAGCTTGTACGGTAGGATAACATCAACAATGGTGGTATGAAGGATCATTCTCCATGTCTGAGATAAATTTTGCTTTTGGAAGGATGTCAAGCTTGCTAATATACATGTCTGCGATAGCACCTTGAAATGATTTCTGATTCGGAATTCCCAATTAAAATTTTATAGGTAACGTGTTTGGCTTCCTTCTTCGCTATATTGTAAGATTCATGCATGATGTAGTCTTATATTGATGACTTTTCAAAACCCAGTTAGGTCGTGATTCTGAAATTTTTTTTATTTTTCCCTGATTCGTGATAAAAGCGTTATCTTGTCAGAAATATCTATTATTTGAACTCCATATTGTATGTGAGCCTCTTTTCATCGTAATTGTTTGCCAATACATATTGTCAGAAATATATAATGTTTTGGATGCAGACATGATGAAGAGATTTTCGGATAGGAAATATGGAGAAAATGTGAGCGAGATATGATGAAGTCGTGATTTGGAACTGGAAGATGATTTCTTGGATTTGATTCATGAGGTTTCGTTAATCTTAGTAAAGAAGAAGGTAAATTGGGAATTTTTGGCATGATTGGGGTTGGGACCGTTGGGTGGTTGATATGGCATGTTTGGTGGATATTTGTTGATCATTATGTTTACTGTATATGTCGTAGTATTTTTTCCTTAAAAAAAGTTGTAATGTAAAAGATGAATATTTATATAATTTATTGTATTAAGTGTAATTTCCACTTATACATGCGCTATGGTCATATATAACAAATGAGCTCATATTGGATATTAATCAATTGAAAAAACTTACACCCACACATATTTTTCAATTTTTCAATTTAATAAGCAGATGATAAATTTATTCTTTTAAAAATCAGTTGTACCCACTCCACCACTCCACGTGATTCCACACCACACCACACCACACCACAACCCATCTCATCCCCAATTCACTTTCATCCTAAAAATTGGTCACAATAACTGGACCATAGATCTTCCCTACAAAGCGCGCATGTCGCATGTGTAAAGTCCCAAAATAAATAAATAATGCTACTCCTCATATATAAAGCCCTCGATGAAAGCCACGTGGAGGCACTACGTGTAGACATTTGGCAATTAGCCAAGTCAAATTAAAGAAAAGACAAGAACTGCCTTGCAACCAAGGCGCTATCTCCATTAGGATTCTTCTGTCGAGGCACTCCATCTCAAAGCTGAACCTCTTCACGTCCAAAGTTCTATCTCTTACGGCCGAAGTGCTTGTTCTCTTCAAAGTAGGACTGATGAGTATCTTTAGGAATGATTGATACAACGTTTGTATTAATAAGTGTGAGACATGTCAGTCAAGGAATGTAGGGCGACTGATCCTTCATCAATGTAATTAATGCATGACAGCGTGATGTGAGATTTCAATTAATTAGATGAAGCCACCTGGATCTGATCCAAATGTAATCACTCTGGCCCAATTCCTATAAATAACAGCTTTATAAATTGTAAACGATGGGGGAAAAAAAAAGAATATTTACAAACTCTTTACAAACTCTATATGATTATCACTCTTATCCTCACTTGATATCAATTGGCTTAGGGATAATTTTTTGTGATTGTGTTCGCTCATTTTCATCTTTGATCTTATTGTCGGTGCTCGAATGATTATGTCTCGTCATCTCCCACATTCACAACCGTCATCGACTCTTTGACCAAATTTTCGGTTCAAACGTGTCGAAATTTTCTCACGTGAACACGAGTGGACCCCAATATCTGTTGACATATTTTTTGGGGTCAACAAATTGATGCCGTCTATGAGAAACTCGATTATAGATAACCACAAGAATCCCATAAAGAAAAGTCGTCAGTCTTTGTTTGAGAAGATTTCTTGTCTTTGAAGAAAAGAAGGAATCCTTAAAGAAAGGATTACCAAAAGAAACCATGTGTTCAAAACACCATTACACCCCTTGAAAAGAGGAATGTTGACTGACCTTAAAATGACTTGAAATACCATCATGAGTACTAGCAATGAGGAATCTGTACCTTGGAAAACCAAGGAACACCCTGAAAAAGGGGAACCCTCGCACACTGCCCTAGCATCTTGCCATAAATTCCACCAGCCAAACAAACGAGGTGGAGCACAAGGTAGATCATGGGGAGGGTCCAGGGTAGCAACTAGACTCACTAGGGAAGTGGCTTCTATGGTGAAAAAAATCATAAGTATTGCTTAGCAAAAACTCGTCGTGCAAGAAAATGTTGAGGAACATGCAAGTCCGAGGTTAAAATTTGATTCATCAATTGATGAGATCAATTTGATTTGTCAAATATATCGATGAGTTAAGAATTTGAGGATGAAAGAAATAGAGAACATGAATTCATGTCTAGAACAATCACCCTGAAAAATGGGTAAAGGGAGTACTTAAGTAACTTTTGTTGAATGGTTAAGATTTGAATTTATTTTTAGCGAAAGCTAAACTTCAACATCTGTTATTAGTTCATAAGACCATTGAAAAAAATGATACTTAAGTTAGTGAGAATAATTAGTATGGCAAAATGGTCATTTATGATCATACCTAATTACTGTATCTCAGATGGGAATAAAATACATATATGGTAAGTCAGAGAAAAATATTATAGATTTATTAGTTTCTATGATCTTATATATTCCAAGAGTTTAGTTTTTTGCCTTTAGTAGAAAAGGTAAAGACTAATAATTAAATTGGATAGTCTAGAGTCTGTTAGACAGGATCTAATTATTGGAGCTTAGTTAATACGTGACCGATCAAGTCCCTGTCGTAGCTGTATAGCGTGTTGGATCTTAATTATGGTAATTATAATAGTTTTGGGCTTGACTGTAATTGCAATAAAGTTTTGTACATAGTTGTAATTACTATGAAAGTTGTGAACTTAATTATAATTGTAATTGAAGTTCTAGGATTGTACATGTAATTAAATGTAAACAAATTGGATTTGAAATTTAATTAAAACTCCTATTCGGATTTTAATTAGGACTATTATTTGAATATGAAATTATTATTGTACAAGGATTGTAACTATTTTATTTCTGTAAATAGAGATTAGATGAAAAATAAACATCCGATAAAATTGTATAATAATCATAATACATAATTTCATAGTATTCAAATTTGGAAAAAGACAATTATTTTCTTGCTTTTATCAATTGGCCATGTCAAAAATTAATTTCTTACTTTAAGAATGTTCTCACCCACTGGTGTAGTCTAAACTTTGGAGAATATCATAAAAGACTTCGAGGTTTGAAGCATCAAGTTTTTGGAATTAAAAAATTAAAAATTCGTGATAAAAAAACTGGAAGTTCTTGATACTGAATTTATTTAAGAACTGACCATCGAATTTTGGTAAAAATTTAAATAATTTATTCTTGATAGAGCATACATGTAAACATCAAGACAATCTTATTTACTGAATTAATTTTTTTTGAATTTCTGGATAATTCCGCTTTCGCATTCCAAAAAAATTCACTTCCATAGATAAATACTAACGATTTGAACCGTTGGTAATTTTTGAATAGTGTAACCTATCAAAGTTCACCGACAAGCAATTCTATTGAAAGATCTCCAGAGCTTTTGATGATTGTAGCGCTTGAAAATGATTTAGAGGACGCTAAACCATCGGAATTCAGGGCTCCAGTGACAGAAATTCATGCACTGATGGCACAATTGTGTGTTTGCTTCAGTAATTAATTAAAAAAATTAATTTACTACCCCTTTTTTTGTAGAAATAATAAACATTAGCTATAGAAGTAACTGGTTAAATAGGTATGTTTACATATGGGAACATTACATCATGATTTTAAAAAAGAAACATAAAATAACAAGTATTGCAAATACCTAATTTACCTAGTCCTCATATCAAGAGAGAATAAGAAGATAGAACTTACATTGGTTACATTCATCCTATGAAAAGTCAGATGCTAATTCTCTTTTATGGGTCCCATTTTAATTGTACGAAGAAGACCTTGGTGGCAGATAGGTTGAAAAACCATCAATAACAAAGCCAGCAGAATCCTCCACGTTGTTAGAAGTAGAGCTGTTAACTCTTTGATGAAAATCATCAGCCGGATTGTTATTTAATGAACTGAAGTATATGTTCTGTTGTTGCTGGTTTGGATACTGCATGTGAAACCCACCACCACCTCCTCCACCAGCCGTGGGTGCAGATGGACAGCCGGTGAACTGTTGCACCAGTGCTCGGAAATTGCTCGTGTCAGTGTTAAGTAGGGTGGTCGGTGTTCGTCGGGATGCCCTAGAACGTTTTCGGAGAGGTTTCGAAATGCCACCTTCCGGTCCCAAATTGCTTTGAATAGAAGTGCCCGTGACATCGACAGAGTTGGGGGTGGTGGTGGTGACGATCGTAGCATCTGACACCGTGTCATTAAAAGTTGCATATGAGTTGGTTTGCGGTTGATGGTATGAAATCCAATCACTGGATTTGGACATGGTTTCATTGATATTAGCCATATGGAAAGAGTAAAAGCATAGGTGATTGAATTGAAATATTTATGGAGTAAAGGATCAATAAATCCTAGTATTTTTTTATTATTTTTTGGGTTTTATATAATATTTGGGCATTTATTCCTGGTCAATGCAAAGACTTTTTTAGTTGGGAGAAAACGAAGTTTGGCATTTGGTGGAAATTCTAGAAGTGGTCGTCTAAGGCATGCATCGATTATACATAATAAAGTGTGGCAGAGTGCTTCGTGGAAGCAGCAAATGAAATATATAGGGTTAAATATTCACTTGGTCCTTAAAGTTATATTAAATTTTCAAATTGGTTCTTAACATTTATTATGTTCAAAATAAGTTTCTAAAGTTTCATTATCTGTTCAAAAATCCCAGTTTGGTCACTCTGCTAATTAGATTAACGTGAATTCCTGCGCATACATTGTTGACGTCACTGTATATTAAATAAATGTTAATTTTATTAATCGCAAGCCTAAATCATGCTAAAAATGGGATAATGAATCTTGAAGCTTGTTTTGGTCCACTTCGAGTACTAAAATCAAATTTGAATGAACATGAAATTGATTGGTGATAAATTGATTTCATTGTTTCATCATTTTAGTACATGTTTTACATCAAATACATTTTCTATCCACATATTTTGTAATTTCTACAAGTATTACACATTCATTATCCTTATATTCTGTATGTCTTACGTCTTAGCATGGCATAGGCTTACTTAAACGCCAAGTTATTACACGTTGGTTTTAAATGCATAAAAGTAGAACTTAACAATTATTTCACTGATAGAGTAATCAAATTAGAACCATTAGAATACTTTATTGATAAATTTGAAATGGAATAATTTCAAGGATGAACTTGAAAGTCTCTCTGTAACTTTAAGGACTAAATGTATATTTGACCCAAAAAAGGATCTTAGACGGAAGATGACATTATCAAAAAGGAATTTTCTTTGTAGCTTAATAGGGTGATATATTGACTTTTGCGTCCTTGTGAGTTGTGACGTGTGAAATTCCGTGAAGAAACAAAAAGCTATTTTGTATAGTTTGTTATGAAAGTGACGATGAATTGAAAGTCAAGACGAGCCTCCTCTTATATCTGTATTATATTTTATAATAAAAATGAAATCTATATAAATGGTATATTTACATTTTACATTTTGTGTTTTATAAATATTTATATATTTTTTATACTATATTTTACATAGTAGTAACGAATAACACCATTGAAAAATTGATAGGGTATGAATGATTTAAGAAGGAAAGTCTCGGTGCGTGTCTTGAAAAGCTTAAATTATTATTAAGACTCAAAGTTTCATATTAAAAGATTAACTTTATTAAAAAGAGAAGTGTTATGCCTCGTCACATAGGCTCCATTTGAAGCCCTTGCGATGAAGCCACATGGATTGTTGCGTTTGTAAATTTGAAGCACCAAAACTGCAATTACCAAAGCGATCTCACATTAATGACGAAGTTCCGAAGTCTACCTGCTGAAGTGATGAAACTCGACAAAGGTCAAAACTGAAGCTCAAGTGACGACCCACACGTGAATATCTTAAATTTATGCATGATCCTTTTGGAATAATTGATGGGACCTTTGTAATGAGTGAAATGTCAAAGTCTTATCAGTTTAGGCTGTAGGGTAGCTACTCTGTATAAGAGCATTAAATACGCCACGAGCTAGTGAGCTTGAATTAATGTCTAAGATTGGACGCTTTGGGTTAGGAGATGATGTCGCCTGTATATTCATCCAACTAACACTATTTCTTGTGCAACACTATAAATGCGCCCCTCCTTGTATCATTTGAAGAATAATGCAACTCAACACATTTAAAGTTATTCTTTGCCTTCTCTCTTGGGGATTATACATTTGCTTTGCAAGAGTTTAATTTACTTGACTTTCTTTAAGTTGTTTACGACTGGTAATCGTTACACAATTGTTTCTAGAATATTTTGCCAGAGGCCTAGCATATTTGTCTTATGTGATAAAGCTCCTCCCACATCCAAATACGGAATATTGTCTAGCAAGCTGGCAATACATGTTGGAACTTTCTTATGTGTACATAAGTAGGTTTGCTATCTATTGTCCACGTCATCGCAACTGAAAACAGGGTCAACAAATTGGCGTTGTCTGTGAAAAACCATATTATAACCACGAACAACCCCATGGAGAGAACTTGTCAAAAAGTAGTTGGGCATTCCCCTTGAAAAATGATATTTTCTTGAAAAAGAACCAGAGAAAGCCCCGAAAATTGGAAAATTTGACAGTTTAAGGAAAATTGAATTCGAACCGTGATGTTCCTTCTAGAAGGATAAAGGAAAACGATGATGAAGTCCCACAAGCAGCAACTGCCCCAGTGGGTCAGTGCTGACCTTACCACCATTATAGACTTGAGGATGAGAATGGATGCCCAACTCACCAGGGAGATTACCACCATTTCAACAAATATGATAAACATTACCCGTCAGAACATGGCCATGCAAGAGCTACTCATGCAAATGCAAGGCCAAGGAGGTCCTCAAATCCTTCCTTTTGCACCTCAAGAGTATTATCCATGTGAAGATAAAGTACAAAGCTAAAAGGCTCCATCCTCGCAATGGGCTTGAGAAGTTAGCCCCTTTGAAAGAAACGTGGGAGTTGATATTTCTTCCAATTATGCTTCTAGCCAACACATTGAGGCCCCATCTAACATGGATGACAATTTTCCTCCCGAATATGAGCCGAAATATGGGCATCAAAGGCCCATCAGCGTGTTTGATAGAATCAACCCAACTGAAACAAGGCGTAGGCCATCTCAACAATCTCCCATGCCTAGAAATAGGAGGGAAGAAATGGCAAGAGACAAAGCCGGCTCATCTCATCCCCCATCCAAATATCAGCTTGATTAGGATGATGACTCAAATGAATCCCAGGGATCTTGTGACCTCGATTATGACGATGAAAATTTGCCATTTCTCACAAGAGCTAAGGAATGCTCCTATGTCGAGCTACTATATGCTGCCAAAGATATCAAAGTATGATGGGAGAGGCAACCTGGCCAAACATTTGAACAATTACAAAACACATATGAGCCTGAGAGGCATCAGACCCACTGTTAAATGCAGGGCCTTCCAATTGACTTTAAATGGAGCAGCAAAAATTTGGTACATTATGTTACCTCCTGGGAGCATTAAGAGCTGGCCATAGTTTAAAAATACGTTCTTAAAGCTATTTTCCGTGAGGAAAGAAGAAGAGGCTCCCATCCAACGTCACCATGACATGAGACAGCAGCCTAGAGAAACATTGAAGGGCTTTTTAGCTCGTTTTACTGATGAAATGACATACTACATACAAGCTACTGATTGGGAGGCATTGTCCACAATACAAGCAGGGCTAACTATGAATACCCTTTTATGGAGGGATTTGCAAAATTAGGATCCTATCACCTATGATACCTTGCTTGAAATGATCAAGTGCGAGATCATCAACAAATAATTAATTGATCATAGAAATAGAGCTAATAGAGGACTCCTACACCCACAAAGGCAGCATGGGAGATAACCCACCTCTCATCTAATGGACCACTAGTGGAACAAAGCTGGTAATGAAATTGATCCAAGTTATGGGCCAGCACTCGCCACTGCTACATTGAGTGTAGTGCCATATTAGCTTATGAAGATGTTACCCCAAAACTAGCTTGCAGTAAATAGGGGAGGACAAAGAGTTCCCCCAAAAGGCAGGACTAGAGATGAAGTTTAGGGCCTAGGAATTGGCCAAACCCAATCAATATTGTACTTACCACTATTCCTATAGTCACAACATAGCAGACTGCAGAGATATCACCCAGCATCTTAGATGGAAGAGTCCTTTAAATCACTGAAATGACCCCCCGCCAAAAAATGCCCCACCTAGGCAGGATCAATCACCTAGGTATGAGAAAGGTAGGTCTCGATGGAAGAAAATGTGTGAGGGAAAAAGAACCAAAGAGGGGCAGTGACAGCGTAAAGACTACCCAATTGATATAGAGAACGTCCCTATTCATGAAATTGATACAATCTTTGGAGGGCCCAATATTAGAGGCTATACAAGGAACTCACAAAAGAATTACGTCTCAGAGACCAAGGGCTTCCTATTAACCAACTAAGTAGTGGATATTAGTTCTCGAGGAAATCAATCACTACCTATTTCCTACACACAAGAAGATTCTAAGGACGTCTACTTTTCCCATTGTGAGGCCCTCATTGTAAAGGCTATGGTGGCTCGTAATGGTTTAAAACGAATCTTAGTAGATAATGGTAGCTTCGTAAACATCTTCTTTGGAGCTACTTTTGACAAAATGATTGTGGATCATAAGTTAACTCTTATTACCACCTCCTGTACAGTTTTACATGTGATAGCATCATCCTAAAGGATAAAACAACACTAGTGATGGAATTGGAGAGCCACGCTCGATGTCCTTGAACTTTCATGAAATTCCTGATTGTGAATAGCACATCAGCTGATCATGGGGATGCTAAGCAAATTTGCTCTAAAGGACTTTGGAGGCTATTGCTTTCATTCACCAACAATGCATGAAATTCCCTACTGATTAGAGGATAGCAATAGTTAGAGGTTACCGAGAAGAACAAAAATGCTACTTGAATGCAGTAAGAAAGGCCGAGCCCAAGGACATCATGTGATAATTATCGATATGAACATGATGGATGCCCTAGAAAAAAATGATCTCAAACAAGTTCTTGTGGAAGATATTATATACCGGTTTAGAATTTCCTACTCAATCGTCTTTCATATTAGGAGACAATTTGATAGCAAAAAGGTTAAGTATCTACGCAAGGAGTTGAGAATTAAGAAATATTTTTCCATGACACACCATCCCCAAGCTAACGGACAAGCCGAGGCTGTAAACAAAATCATCAAGTATACTCAGTAAAGAAAACTCGATGCATCTAAGGAAGCATTGGTTGATGGACTACCAAAAGTGCTATAGGTAATCCGAACTACTGGTCGGATCTCCTGGGGAAAACCCTTTCTCAATTGCCTATGGTGTCGAAGCAATGAGACCGGTAGAGGTTTAACTTCCTTCTCCTTGCCAATTACAATTCAATGAGATATACAATGAAGAAATGAAGAGATGTAAACTCAATCCTTGATGAAAGAAGGGATAAATCCCAAGTAAAATTGGCTACTTACCAAAGGAAGATGACCAGTTACTATGTAGTAAAAGTCAAGAAGAGATCTTTCGTGTAAATGATTTAGTGCTTCGGATGATGTTCATGTCTTCGAAAGAACCAAGAGTAGGTACGTTAGGACCAAATTGGAAAAGCCCATATCACATCAAAGAAGAACTATGACCTTTTACTTATTGGATATAGGATTTGGATGGAATGTTACAGCCTCGTTCATGTAATGTCAAGCATTTTTAAATAAACTATCAATGATTGTACTTAAAAGTTGAAAGATCTTACCCAGCCCCTGTAAAAATTCTCGAATGTGAATAAATAAAACTACGTTTCATTAAGGAGATTAAAAACTCTTGTATAAGAGCGTAGGTGCCTCAAACAAGAGGATCAGATTCCAAAAAGGGATCATTTTATTTATTCTTTGAGGCATACATCACATAACACCCTTTGACAAAGCTAAACATCAAGGAAGAAACCCTTATATGGATTAACCATCTACCAGGTAGGAATGCATGGATGCCTCAGAGAGGAGGACCAAATCCCAAAGAGATCACCTCATTTGTTCTCCAAGGCTTACATCATATGCATCTCTTTAACGAAGATGAACGTCAAAGGAGAAGCCCATACATGGACGAACCATCTACCAAATGTTAAAGTGTAGGCTCCTTGGAAAGAAGGATTGGATCCCAAAAGGGATCACCTCATTTGTTGTCTAATTCATACATTACATGTATCCCTTTGATGAAGCTAGACGTCAAAGGATAAATCTTTGCGTCATCGGTTCTCAAGATTGACCAAATTGAAAAATTTTTAAGGAAAATTGAGCGTCATTAAAGAAGTATAATGCACCGTTAAAAAAGTAACAAGTTCCATGTGCTCTCAAAATTGGTTAAGTTCAAAATGTCTCAAGTGCTATAGTTTATTGCAAAATGAATTAAACAATCAAATTAGTTAAGCTATGCACTTTTATTTAGGCCACAACTCTTGATAATTAAAAATAGAAGACATTGAAGTACAAAAGTATTCATTTCATTACATAATAGAATGTTTACAAAGAGGCTGAAGCCAAAATTACTATGACCAAAATCTACACTATGTTAAAGGTGGCGGGAGAACCAACATCTCTGTAGTAGACGCTTTGACAGTATAAGCCTTTTGTTGTGAAGCTTTGTCCTTAAGAGCATCTTCTTGGTCCATTTCTTCATCATTTTCAATCGTGTCCTCAACTGTGGTTTGAGGCACCTCATCCAAGAACTCAGCTCTCAGTTCAGCAACATCAAGTTCTGGGTAAAGCTCTCCCACCTTGTCTACTACTTCGATGTGAGCAAATCTTCTCCAATAGGCATCGAAGTGCTAATATACTCTTCTATCAAATAGAAGTTTGCATTATAATTCTTCACTGACTCGTCACCTACCAGTTGAGCATCAGCCTTTGCTCTATCTGTCTTCTGCACATAGTGCATCATATGGGTATCATAAAATTGGTTCAAATCCTAGATCCCAGTGAGTTCCAAGTTCACTTTCTCTAAAACCTCAAATGTCAGCTTCTAATGATTGTTTGAAGTTCCAACCTTATTGGTCAAGGAAGTCACTTCGTACTAGGATTCATGAACCTTCCTCTTCAGAGCTTTGATCTCTGTTAAAGTAGAATCCAACTTAGCCATCCACTCAATTCGCAGGGCCTTCAACTCTTCGGTCTCTATTTTTATTTTCTTCGTCTCTTCCTCCATCGAGGCCAACTTATCGACCGCCGCCTTATTGTGCACCAGGATGTTATTCGACACCTCTTGGCTTTCTAAAGCCACGCCAAAGGATTGAGCACATTGGCTGACGAATGTTGCTGAAAGGTCCACCACGTCGTACATGGATACATACGACAACTAACTATCAGTACAGAACTTGTAAAAATTAGCATTGGTGCCTTGGACTTCAGATGGTAGCATATCCACCACTGTTAGGGCAATCTCCTCGTCTTGTCTCGCTAGGAACTTTCGTAATTTTACAGGGGTCCTAGCTACTACTATCTTCCCCATGGCCTTCAAAGCCTGCTCTTTTTCCTTCATAACCTCTTTCTTGGCCCTCCGAAATGTCTCTATGTTAATGTCTTTCATCTAAGCTTTCATCAACTTTGGAGGAAGAGGAGCAGCTTGTTTAGCAGCAGAGGTGACGGTGGTGCCAAACTTTTGAAGAAGGAGCTACTATGGGATAATTTCCTTCCCTTCTGAGGCTCCTCCATCCTCCCATTGCCTTTGTCGATGCTTGCTTTTATTAATCCTCTGACATGCCTCCTCATAACTTTTTATAACGCGATCCTTGTTGAGGTGCTCAAGCTTTTCCCTTACATATTTAACAATTCTAGAGAAACGCTCTTCAAAATCAAAGCCATATTTGGGGTAGGGTATTTTTTCCTCCCAAAGTCACCTGCAAAAGGTAAAGACATTGCTGAAATCTGAAAAAGGAACTCAATGCTTACAAAGGGCTTCTGTGTTTACCTTTCGGAGCCATTAGTCTGAATTCCAAGAAGTACTTACTTTGGTAGATAAGATGGTTGTAGTGTTGCAACTTCAAGGGACGTTTGTAAATGTCATCGACGATGTCCCACTCTGTTTGATATAGATCGAAGTGGTTCCCAGAAACTACAAAACAAAAAATCAAATAAAGGCACAATTATTTTAACATAGGTAATAGAGGGAGACACTAGCATGCTTCGAAATTTTGCATTAGTACAGTGCAAACTGGAGTTTTGTCCCCCTTCACCATCTGCCATCTCTCATTTGCCCAGAATCAGGACTCTTTCTATCCATTGATAGAGGATGGCAGATCCACCACGAAGGGGCACTGACTTTCCAAGGAGTCATATAGTACCACCCCTTTGACTCTTCCTTCCTAAAAATGCGAGGTTGGAAGAGTGTTTGGAAGACATGCTGAGGCATATCCTTACCAAGCGAGATCTCCTTCCAAAGAAAGTATGCCCCTATGAGCTATCTCTACCCATTTGATAAAAGTTGGGCATAGCCAACATAAAAGAGCTAATCACTGTCCTAAAAATGGTTACAGAATTACACGTACACCCATTTTCAACAGGTATCACTAATGGCCACATAGTCGAGCCTCAAATAATCGGCACGTTCGTGGGCTTTCGAGAATTATTAGTTCTATAGAGTTTGAGATTCTAAATTTATCCTTAAGTTCAGCTAATTTGATGGAGGTCATGGTAGAAGGGATCTTAACAGCCTCCCACCCCTTGTAGTTGATGGAATTTTCACTCATGGCCCAGTAACCCTCTTCGACATTCCAGGCTTAGGCTCCTCGCTGACCGTGATGATAGATACCTTAAAACTATTAGCATTTGACTCGAACGCAATTAAAAGATAATATGGAAATGTTGTAGAAAATAGACTCATAAAAAATTACCTAAATCAAAAGGAAGTCTCTAAGGATGCGATATAGCTGGAAAAATGGAGATTGCCGGAAAAGATAAGGAACGCTTGAGAGTTTGAAGATTTTCACAAAGGTAAAGGTCAAAATAATGGTAGGGTTTTAGCGTATATACAAAAGATAAAAGGATCACTGCCCTTGGATAGAAATCTAATCCATCCAAAGCGTCCATTCTAGGTTACATCTAAGGTATTGAATTCAAATGGTTTCTTTTGTCAATGCCTCTAATTAATCCGTGTTCTTCACCCATGAGCCTCAGTGCGTCAACCTTAGAACATTACAGTGTGACCATCATTACGCATTAAATGTAATGGCTGTGAGATGTAATGCTTCAACTATTTTTCTTGGAAATGTGCAAAATTATCGAATCATTGGCACCATTGTCAAGGTCACCTCTACCAAAACAAAGGAGCCTCGGTAGTTCAACACTTCTTTGCTTTGGTTCAAATAAATTCAGCTTCTATCAAAATAAAGGGGCCTCGACAGTTCAGCTCTTTCCTACTTTGGCTCAAATAAATTTCAGCATCTATCAAAATAAAAGGCCACGCCAGTTCAACACTTCTCTTCTTCGACTCAGATAAATTTCAGCTTCTATCCAAATAAAAGGGCATCGATAGTTCAACACTTCCCTGCTTCGACAAAAATGAATTTCTGCCTTTTCCTGCTTTAGCTCAAATAAATTCTAGCTTCTACCAAAAACAAAGGAGCCTCGGCAGTTCGCTGCATAAAGATAGTACGACATACAAGAATTAGGTTCAACTTAAATTCCAATCATGATATAAATATCTATACTTAGACTTCGAGGACTATAATTTTGTCAAAAATTTAACCATGAAAGGAAAACTGGCCCAAAATACATTTCACTCAATACTAAAGTCCATACACGATATAAGTATCCATACTGGACATGGGGGACATTATTATGCCTCGCTACATAGGCTCCATCTGAAGCTCTTGCATTAAAGCCACGTAGATTGTTGTGCTTGTAAATCCAAAACATTAAAGCGGTCTCCATTAATGATGAAGCTCCAAAGTCTCCCTACCGAAGTGATAAAGCTCAACAAAAGTCAAAACCGAAGCTCAAGTGACGACCCACATATCAAGATCTTAAATTTATGTATAATCCTTTTGGAATGATTGATGGGACCTTTATAATGAGTGGAATGTCAAAGTCTTGTCAGTTTTGGCTATTGGGTGACTACTCTCTATAAGAGCATTAAATGCGTCACAGGCTAGTGAGTTCGAATTAAAATCTAAGATTGGACGCTTCGAGTTAGGAGATGATGCCACATGTTTATTCATCCAATGTACAATATTTCATGTGCAACACTATAAATGACCCCCTCACTGTATCATTTCAAGAATAATACAACTCAACACACTTAAAGCTACTCTTTGCATCCTCTCTTGCGGAATATACATTTGCTTTACTAGAGTCTTTGAGTTGTTTACAATTGGTAATTATTACACAATAGTTCCCAAAATATATTGTTGGAACCCAAGCATATTTGTTTCGTGCCATAAAACTCCTCCTATATCTAAATTCTAAGTATTGTCTACAAGAAACTTGGCCATAAGTATTGAGACTTTCTTACGTGTACACAAGTGGATCCAGTAACTATTGTCTATGTCTTCCTAACTGTAAACGAGGTCAAGTAGTTCAATCCAATATATGTTGATTTATATATTTATATTTATTCGATGTGTAATTTATTTATAAAACGTGTCCTCTTAAAATATTAGTTCATTGGAACACATCAGTCTTGAAACTTGATTGCCTGTTTATGCTTTAGATATACTAAATTCCTCATTTGAGCTTAATGTTTTTTTATAACATATTAAAGACTTGATATTTCATTGTAAAAGTCAACTTTGTTAGGAATGATAACGCAAACCCTTTTATGTTAATTTATATTTTTTTATTTAATCGTTATGTGATTTATCCTTTAACAGTTATAATTTAAACAAATTAAATATTTTTTTGGGAGAAAATTCATGTCTAAAACAATTTTAAAATACAATTTGAAACTTAAAAAACTAGTTAAAAACACTTTCAAAAATGAGGTAATATGTGACTGTGATCTATAATAAATGTTGTAACCTATAAATTGAAATTAATCAGGTCATAGTTATAAACTACAAATTTATGAATCATAGTCACATATTAAATCACAAAAGGTTACAATCACATGCCACTTAATTTACAGGTCATAAATACGTATTAAGTATAAATAAGACAATTAATAGGTCATACTAATTTTATTAGTCACAAATCACACAATTAATTAGGAATAAACACTACTGGTCAGATTCTTCTCACCTTCATCCCACCCGACCCGTCTTTTCTGTAACAACCATGTGATAAAGCTCCTCCTATATCCGAATACAGAGTATAACGAGAAACTTGGCCATACTTGTTGGGACTTTCTTATGTGTACACAAGTGGATCAAGTATTTATTGTCTACGTCTCCCTAACTGTAAACGAGATCAAGTAGTTCAATCCATTATATGTTGATTTATATATTTATATTTACTCGATGTGTAATTTATTTATAAAACGTATCCTCTTAAAATAGTAGCTCATTGGAACACATTAATCTTGAAACTTGATTGATTGTTTAAGCTTTACATATACTAAATTCCTCATTTGAGTTTAATGATCTTTGATGACATATTGAAGACTTGATATTTCATCGTAAAAGGTCAACTTTGTTAAGAACGATAATACAAACCCTTATATGTTAATTTATATTTTATATTTAATCGATATGTGATTTATACTTTAACAGTTATAATTTAAACAAATTAAATATTTTTTTGGGAAAAAATTCATGTCTAAAAAGCAATTTTAAAATACAATTTCAAACTTAAAAAACTAGTTAAAAACACTTTCAAAAGTGAGATAATGTGTGATTGTGATCTATAATAAATGTAACCCATAAATTGAAATTAATTAGATCATAGTTATAAACTACAAACTTATGAATCATAGTCAGATATTAAACCACGAAAGGTCACAGTCACATGCCACTTAATTTACAGGTCATAAATACGTATTGAGTTGTAAATGGGACAATTAATAGGTCATACTAATTTATTACTCACAAATCACATAATTAATTAGTCATAAACACTAATTGGTCAGATTCTTCTCACCTTCATCCCACCCCACCCGTCTCTTCTTTAACAACTTATAAATACTTTCAACTTTCAAATACTTTTAACTTTAATGGAGATATATATTGTAGGACGTACCCATAATTAGTAGGCACTTATTATTCACATTTTATGTGATATACAACTTATAAATACTTTTAACTTTCAAATATACACTCAAAAAAGGTAATCAAAGAATGAAGACTCAACAACAATGGGGACTTCCCACACCGAGGACATGAGAGAAAATGGTATCAAGAAAGGGAAATAACTAGAGAAGATAAATTTGTGTACACTTCAACAAATGTTGTTGATACATGAGAGTTTGAAGAACACATTAGTATTGTAAATAAAAACAGTGAAAGTCTAAAATCAAATTGAAAGTGTCATTTTGAAACAATCGATTTTGTTGGGAAAAAAAATACAAATTTTATTTATTTGATTTCTTAATACACTTGTGATTTAAATGTTATATCTTGAAAAGTTATTTGTCAAAACTGTCAGAAAATGTAAGGGTGCATTTGGTTAACATTTCTACTTTCTGTTTTTAGTTTTGAATAAATTTTCTGCTTTATATTTTGAGTGATTATATTAAGATTACAGAAAAAACGCGCTTGATTTAACATTCGAAAAAACTGTTTCTCAAAACAAAAAACTAGAATATGCATTTGGCTTAAAAATTTTAGAAATACTTTTTTTTCAATTAATTTGATTATTTAGTACAACATCAATTTTATGCTAATATGTGATAAAAAAAAAATCAAAAATTATATTTGGGTGTGTTTTGTGTGATTTTATTAATTATTTTAATTTGAGAAAATTTTTAGTTCATTTTCTTTGTTTTGAGTGTTTTAAGGTCAAAATGTCATTTTGAGTTTTATGTTGTAAAGTTTTCTTTGTTTTCAAAAATACATTTTTGAAAATAACATACCAAACTCATTTTGAGTATTTTAGAAAATTGAAAATATCATCAAAACAACAAACCAAATGCACTCTTATATGTTCTACTAGTAGTTACTACTGACTGATCGTATGGTAAGAGTCTCGACTAAAATCTTTAAGCAGCAATTTTTACTGTTTTCTATATAAGAGGATATGATTTCTTGTTATAACATTATAGCTCGAATGAAAATAGATTCTTTACCATCCTAAATATTTTTCATATTAGTTTAATAAGTGAATATGAGGTTAGATTAAATTAATAATGCCTTTCCTTATTTACTCGATTAACAAATCTAGAAAATCTTTTTGTATATTATTCTACTAATTCTCTTACCGTGTTTAATGATTATTATTTAGGTAAGAATTAATTTCTATATTTGATAATTGCTCAACCTATAAATAAAGTAATTAATCAAGAAAGAAATCAAGCTTTGAAGTTATTTTTGTTCCCATTTTATAATTGTCAAACACACGACAACTTCATGGAACGGAAAAACACAATGCTCCATTGATTAATTCAAAGCCAATGTTTCTTCAAGTCTTTGGAGAATACGAAAAAAATTTGGCACGTAATTTACAGTTTCATGATCCAGCTACTTGGTGTGAAGTTAAGATGGGGGATTCTTAATCCGTAGTGGTTATGAACGAGTACAATAGGGAAGTTGTAATAAAGTTAACAATGATGAATTTGATTTCGATTGATCAAGAAATCCAAAGAAGAAGATATAAAGGAAGTTGATCTTAGTTCTTTTCTTTGTTCTTATTTTAATTTTGCTAAATTGTAAAAATCGATTACTATTGTGTTTTTAATCAATTAATTGGTGGATTGTTTGACCCACGATAGGGTTTACCACGTTATATCTGGTATTCTTGTTTTGTTTTACGAATTAGTTTTGTACTCAATTAAAACTGCACAAACACATTATCAACCTACAGGTTGCAGTTAGAACCATTAGAAATTGATTGTAGGAAGTTCTAATTACTGATTGTCAAGAGTTATATTAATTAAATTAATATTAGTTTTTAATTTGTCTAGATTTTAGAATTTACAAATTTGATGTCACTTGGATCACTAATGAGATGACTTTTAATTAATTTTTTTAAAAACAATTTAGTTTATATTCGGATACTTTAATTGCGATTTGAAACCAAATCAAATTATTTAACAATTGAAAAACAAATATGGAAAAATTTAAATTTATTTACACTTAAAAACTACAATGTTAATCTCCAAATAAATTAATAAATAGTCGAATTAGTTTCTCAATAGTTAACGAGCAGAATACAGAAAACTCAGAACGAATTAAGGCATAAGTTTCAAAGGTTGACTTAACCATTTATGGTTTAACACATCCTGAAGAAGCTAAATAGCTGAACTTGACATTCCTCTGTAGAATTCTGCTGCACCAGACAACTGTGAAGTGAAATATAGTAGCTGTAATTTAGCTTTGTATTGTATTGCTAGCTGAAGGTTGGGATCTTGATTTCCACGGCTTTTGTAATATTCAAGAATCATCTGCTTGTATTTCATTTGAAGCGTGGAATAAATTGGATTGTGGTGCAATCATATTGGTCACTAAATCATTTTCGCCACCTTCAATTCTTATTATGGTATCACAGCAAGAGGTTCAACCTTTGTTGAATCAAACTTAAATTCCCACTTTTCTTCTCATCTTCCTGAACTTGCAGATTTTGCCTTAAATTCTTCTAATCCATCATGGCTGAAGCAAATCCAAGACTCAAACACAGCACACAACTTGCTGATGAATCATCCAACCCATACTTTCTCCACCATGGTGAAAGCCCTGGATTACTCCTAGTCTCACAGCCTCTTACACCCCAAAATTATCATTCTTGGAGTAGAGCCATGTATGTGGCTTTATCTACCAAAAAAAAGCTAGGCTTCATTGATGGCACAATCAAGAAGCCTGAAGAAACAGATGAGAAATATCCATAATGGCAAAGATGCAACCACATGATCTTGTCCTGGCTTATGAACAATCTTTCACCGAAGATAGTCAGATTGTCATATACTCTGATTCGATATCACAAATCTGGGAGGAACTCAAGAAACGATTTGCTAAGTCAAGCAATAGCAAAATTTTTATGCTTGAGCAGCAACTGGCAATGACCAAGCAAGAGAAGGCACCAGTAAGTGTCTATTTTTCGAAGTAGAAACTCGTGGGAGAAAATATCGAGATTTGAGGAACCATTCAAATGCATGGTAACTGATTGTGGAACCATCTCCATGATCATGAAGAGGCAAGAAAGAAGACAGATTATGCAATTTTTGATGGGTTTAGACGAAGCTTACAATGGGCTGAGGAACCAGATCCTTCTCAGGGATCCATTGCCATCGCTTGATAGGGTTTTCAACTTCATTTTACAAGAAGAAGCTAACCAGGAACTGACCAAAAAAAGCAATACCATAGTCGAGTCTACTGCCATGTTCTTTGGTAAAGTTCGATATCAGAAAAATTCTTCCAAGCAAGGACTGATGAATAACTACAAAGGGATGAGACCAAAAGACAAAGCTCCATGTAAGATATGTGGCCGCACCAATCACTCCATAGACAATTGTTGGGAGATTAATGGGTATTCACCCAACCACAAGTTCTACAAGGCCACCACAGCACCTGGAAAAGACTACAAAACAACAAATATTGCTGCTGCAAATGAAGGCACAAATAGCTCAAGTCTAAATATTTCTCATGACCAGATTCAACAACTGATAGCTCTTCTCCAAAGCCAAAAATCTCCCCAAGCTAGCTCCACTTCAAAACCCATAGGTAACCAACATTCAACTATGACAAGTAAAATTCCCAGTACTTTCCCCATTTCGATTAGCCACTCACTCAGCTATATGTCAACTGAAGCTCACTCAAACTCTTGGATTTTAGATTCAGGTGCAACTGATCCTATAGTTAGTTCACTTAACATGTTTACACACAAGAAATCCCTCTCGAACATGTTTGTTAGATTACCAAATGGTACTATGGTTGCTGTCACATAAATAGGAACTATCCGTATTTCATCCACTCTTACTCTTGACAATGTTTTGTCTGTGCCTAGTTTTAGGTTCAATCTAATATCGACTAGCAAACTAACTAATGATCTCCATTGTTGTCTTGTATTCTTATCTGGTTACTGCTTCATTCAAGAGCTAGTCCATTGGAAGACGATTGGAGTTGCTAAAGAGGTGCTAGGATTGTCTACCTACAGGAAAATGACCATGAAGTCAAGTTGCACCAGAACTTATCAGCTGCACATTCTCTTACTATTTTGACACCAAAATTGTGGCACTAAGGCTTGGACATCCATCAGACCAATGTCTTGTTTTGTTGCATAGCATGGATCCCACTATCCCCATTTTCTCTACAAAACACCATTGTGATACTTGTCATATAGCTAAACAAACTCGTTTACCCTTTCCATCAGGTCACAAGTTTGTTGAGTCATGTTTTGATTTATTACATATGGATATTTGGGGACCATTTTCTGTTGGCTCTCTCAATGGAGCTCATTATTTTTTAACAATTGTTGATGATCATAGTAGAAATACATGGATTTATCTCATGAAGAGCAAAAACCAAAGAGGGTAGTTAATAATAACCTTCTTTAACCTCATTGAAAATCAATTCAGCTGCAGGATTAAAGCCATTCAAACTGACCAAGGAAAAGAGTTTGAATTGACAGAAACTTTTTCTTCAAAAGGAGTCATTCATCAACAAAGTTGTACCTATACTCCTCAACAAAACTCTATTGTAGAAAAAAAGGCATTTACATTTGTTAAACATGGCAAGGGCTTTAAGGTTCCAAGCCAACCTACCATTGAAGTTTTGGGGGGAGTGTGTCCTAACAGCCGCATACTTGATCAACCATACTCCATCACCAAATTTGCAGAACCAGGCCCCTTACCAAATTCTTTTCTCCAAAATTCCTACATATTATCACTTAAAATCTTTAGGATGTCTATGCTATGCATCAAACCTTACCCTCATCGAACCAAATTTGATTCAAGGGCTAGAAAATGCATTTTTATAGGATATCCAAATAGGATTAAGGGGTACAAGCTCTTTGACATAAAAACTCTTGAAATTTTAGTTAGTTGCGATGTGGTCTTTTATGAAGAAAATTTTCCTTTCAAACACCACATTGACATGCTTTCTCTTTTATCCACTCCGATCATGTCCATACTAGATGATACTCCTGTGGCCCCTAATCCCATTTCTGATCCTATGGAATTGTCACAACAACCAGCAACCACCAATTTTGAAAGAAATAGACAACCTTTATCTGATACATTCAGTAACACGCCAAACCAAGTGGAGATTGCATATATTCCTCATCTTCCTACTATAGAAAGTCCCAGTTCACCAGACCTTTCCCCTATCCAAGCAATAGGATCTTTACCCAAGCTTAGGAGATCCATCCGAGCTAGAAAACCACCTCATTACCTTCAAGATTTCCATTGCAAGCTGGTGACCACTTTAGCAACACCAAACGAACCTCCTCTTGACAAGTCATCTGATGAAGGTAATCCTCATCCACTCTCTTCAATTCTTGATTACATACATTTATCACCATCACATTTAAAATTTAGCTTAGCAGTTAACCTTGAGCCCGAGCCTACGTCTTATGCCCAAGCCATGAAATACCTTCATTGGAGGATTGCTATAAGTGATGAAATAAGAGCATTAGAAGAAAATCAAACTTGGTACTTACTCGACCACCAGATGGAAAGAAAACTATTAGATGCAAATGGCTGTTCAAGACCAAATATAAGGCTGATGAAGCATTAAACGACACAAGGCGAGATTGGTTGCAAAAGGCTACACTCAAAGGAAAGGTGAAGACTATTTTGAGACACACTGTATCTAAGCCCTTGCAGCCTCCAAGAACTAGTTTTTATCTCTCCTAGATGTCAATAATGGCTTCTTGTATGGTGACTTGGATGAAGAAGTGCACATGTCTCTACCTCCGGGATATGGCACTCAAGGGGAACAACGGGTTTCCAAATTAAGGAAGTCACTCTACGAATTGAAGTAAGCATCTCATCAATGGAACAAAAACTCACCCCGATCATTACAAAGATTGGGTTCATCCAATCTAAGGCTAACTACTCTTTACTTCATTTACTGTTCTATTGGTGTACGTAGATGATATGGTTATTGCAAGTGATAATGCTTCCGAAATACAGTAATTGAAGGACTATTTAGCACAAAATTTCAAGCTCGAGGACCTTGGACCTTTGAAATATTTTTTAGGCATCAAAGTGGCACGATCATTTCAAGATATATCCATTTGTCAAAGGAAATATGTCTTAGAGATCCTACAGGATTGTGGACTTCTTGCTGCAAAACCTGTTGGTTTTTCCATGGAGCAAAATTTAAAATTATCTGCAGAGGACGGGATTGATCTTGCTAATCCTACAAAATATAGAAGACTCATTGGGAGGTTGCTTTATTTAACCATCACTCGTCCAGACATTTCATATTCAATCCAAGTGCTTAGCCAATTCTTAAGTAGACCAAAGGACACCCATTAGAAGACAGCCTTGTGGATAGCAAGATATTTGAAGGGCTCATCATTACAGGTTCTATTCTATCTAGCTGCAAGCTCACTCCAATTATCAGTATTTTGCAATGCGGATTGGGGGGCTTGTTCGACAACAAGGAGGTCCATTACTGGGTTTTGTGTTTTCCTTGGGAATGCTTTAGTTTCATGGAATCCAAGAAACAATGAGGCAAAATACCGATCGATGGCATCTACAACATGCGAACTTGTTTGGTTTTGAAGTTTGCTATGTGATCTCGAAGTTAATTTAGTTAAACCAGTTCAGCTCTTTTGTGATAATTAGGTGTCAATTTATATTGCCTCAAATCCAGTTTATCATGAATGCATGAAACATATTGAAATCGATTGTCATATTGTAAAAGAGAAGTTGCAGGAAGGTTTATTGAAACCATCCCATATTTTATCTAAGATGCAAGTAGCAGATATCCTCACCAAGGCAATTGGCTCACGACAATTTCATTTTCTTCTAAGCAAGATGGGGATTCATAGCATCACATCCCCATCTTAAGGAAGAGCAATGAGCATAATACAGAAAACCCAGAACAAATGTGAGCTACACAAGAAAACTAAGGCACAAGTTTTAAAGGTTGACTTAACCATTTATGGTTCAACACATCCTGAAGAAGCAAAATAGCTGAAGCTAACATTCCTCTATGGAATTCTGATGCACCAGACAACTGTGAAGTGATATATAGTAGCTGTAATTTAGCTTGTATTGTATTGCTAGTAGTAGGTTGGGATCTTGATTTCCACGGCTTTTGTAATACTTAAGAATCATGTGCTTGTATTTCATTTGAAAGTGGTGCAACCATATTGGTCACTAAATCATTTTCCCCACTTTCAAGTCTTATTAATAGTAGCCCTAATTTCATGAACCCGTGAATCTGCTCTTGAACATTCCTTCACATCAACCAATAGTTACCGCAAATGCCAAGTGGCAATGCAAAACCCTCATTATCACTCATAACAATCTACCATTAATATGTATACTAACAATATACCTCAATCTTACTCTACCAATACCACTCCAAATAGAGGCGAAAGTACGGGGGACAAAACATTTTTTATCCCGAATTGATACATAGAGGGAAAAAAATTCCATTAAAATGGTTTTATATGTTAATTTTTATTGCCTTACAAATTTTAATTAGGCCTGGGGCACCCTCCACCGCTGACTACTAAATACTGTAATATGCGTAACAATATAATTTTCTCCATTCCCAACAAATGATTAAAATAGAAATTCCAACCAACCAGGATGTCCAATGCCAACTATAATTAAATATTGGGATCAAATTTATTTAAAGTGGAAAATCCTTTTGTTGGGTAGTTGTGCACCCATATAGTATATATTTTGCTATGATAAAAGAATAATTTATGATAAATAAATTGTGATTTTATTTATTTATTTTAGTTATTTACTATTAATCATGCGAATTAAAGTGCCTATGATCACTTATGATAATATAAATTGGATACTTGCGTTGAGAAACACAATGTGACATAACTTATAGTTTGATCATAAATAATTTATTCAAGACCAATGTATAAGGTTGACATATCGTATTGGAAGGTTGTGATGTTGATTGATTCACTATTTAGATTTGTGATTTGTCCTTATCAAAGAAATAGATAAATGTAACATTAGTACACTTGGAGTATATTGAACAGATCATGTGTTGAATTTAATTTTATAGCATGATCGTACGGAGAATTAAATTTCACTTGACCGCTGTGTATTTCTTCTAAATCCCTTGATAGGAATATGTATATATTTTCGTAATTTTAATGGTTCTTTGACTCATCAATGGGTGCTAGCAATTTGATTGGTCAAATATCTCGATTGATTAAAACATAAGAATAAGAGAAGTAGAGAACATGAATTCGTGTCAAGAATATCACCCTAAAAATAGGTAGAGTGACTATTTAAATATTTTCTATTGAACGATTAAAATTTGAACTCAATATTTAGCGACGGCTAAACTTCGTTACAATTAAGAGGGGTCATTGAAAGAACGTGTTCAAAATCATGATCAATTCCTTTTTCATGTGATTAGTTCGCAGGACCGTTGAAGAAAATAAAATTTAAGTTAATGGGAATAATTAGAAGGGTAAAACGGTCACTTATGCTTATACCTGATCATTGGATCTCAGATAAGGATAAAATACATATACGATAGGTTAGAGAAAATTATTACAAATTTTTTGGCTTCTTGATCTTATGAATTCCAAGAGTTCAATCTTTTATCTTTAATGGAAAGGATAAAAACTAATAATTAGAATAGGTGATCTAGGGTCAACTAGACCAATGGATGAGACAAGGCAAGTTGAGGTTCTACTAAAGATCTTTTAGACAAGTTCTTTTAAGATTGATTGATGTGATAACTCTCTACAACAACCATTCTACAAAGTCAACATGTAAAGTCTAACCCCTTA